GATTCGAAACAATAAAATTAGCGAATTCAATGCAGCAGTTCAAAAAGAGAGAGAGTTTTTTAGATTTGGTTACCCGTATTTGTCAACTCAATATGGACTGCACCTTTATCGGCTACGACAGGGTTTTATAAAAAATAAAGGTATCAAGCTCATCTAAGGAAATTAAATTCAGAATTAAAGATTTACTCATTTTAGATGACATTATAAAGGTAGGCAAAGAATTAGACGAAACTGACATCGAAACATCTATACATAAGATTGTTATCAAAGAAAATACACACTCTGATCTAAAACATTTGGAGGGAGTAAGACAAGATAAGAAAGTTTACTAACAAAAACCAACTAATACTAGATATGACGATACCCAGATGATGCCATATACTGAGAGCAACAGAAATTATGATAATAATTACAGACATACAACCATGGCAGACTCGACAATATTATGGCAACCAAAGATTCAACAACCAAAATAACTATCATTTTCCAAGACGAAATTATGATAGATTTTATGATCAAAATAGATGGGAAACTTCTTATATTCCTTTCAATAATCACGACAGTTATTGAATCGGAAAACTAGTTTCCTTCAGTTAAAATTTAGACCCTTAAAAGGGCCGTTGGGTATTCATTGGTTTTAAAATAGACATTGGGTATTTTTAAAAAAGTCTGTCTTGGGTAAATTAGGATATGAAGAGCCGTAGAATTCATTTTTTTTTCTGAACTACAAATGTTTTTTAATGAATATGCCTCTGGTCAAATGTAGTTATTAATTTTGTTTAGATTAAATGACTTACATAATTATTTTGCACACCTGTGGCTTTAAATAATTTTTATTGTATAAATTAAATATAAAAACTGAAGTGGGACTCAAACAAATTTCAAATTATAAAAAGTTAATAATTTTTATTAAATTAGTAAATATGTAATGTATACATTACATAAAACGGTACTCGAAATATTATTGCATATACATAATATTTTATTCACCATTCTATAAATGTTATTTACAGATATAGGAAAAAGTTATGAACACCATCTCCATCTAGAGTATTTCCACTTTCTAGAACACCTTCTCCATCTAGAGTATTTCCTCTATCTAGAACATCTTCTCCGTCTATTGTATTTAAACCTACTAATTTTGTATGGAGAGTTAAAAAATCCAATTGAAGCTCAATCTAAAAATTTTGCCGAATATTTATATATACCACTTTCTCCGTCCAATCAGCTTCCGACATCTATAGCACTTTATCCTTCTAAAATAGCCTTAGACATTAAAGCTACCCCTATTGAAGAAAGTTAGGTTTTAATAATTTTGGTAATATTTAAAAACTGATGAATTAATGCCTCTATTTTTACATCTTATAAAAGTATTGAATTTAATACCCAATGGGGTAAAAAATAATAAAGTTTTTGTAATTAATAATAAATTTAAAATATTAAAAAATATTAGCGAAAAATCAGTCTTGGATCGAATATAATTTATTTTTTAAAGAAAAGCAAATTAAAAATCATAATATTTTAGAATTACTTGAGCCTCAACCAAATATTGACAATATTGTAATTCTTCATCGTTATTATAATGCGTTAAGAAATTGTGAAAAATATAAGAGAAGGATTTCTTATTTGGTTATAATTCAAAAGGTAATGACGGAAACTGAAATTTTTTTCATTTTATGTTTATATGAGTAAGTTTACATAAAATGAGTCAAAAATTAAAAATATTTTTAAAATCCCATAAATCTAAAAAAAATTGACTAAACTGAGAATTGACATCATAACTCAAAAAATAATGATGGAAACTTAAAATTTTTTCATTTTATGTTTATATGAGTAGGTTTACACAAAATGAGTCAAAAAAATAAAATATTTTTAAAATCCCAAAAATCTAAAAAAAATTGACTAAACTGAGAATTGACATCATAACTCAAAAAATAATGATGGAAACTTGAAATTTTTTTCATTTTATGTTTATATAAAGTTTACACAAAATGAATCAAAAAATAAAATATTTTTAAAATCCCAAATATCTAAAAAAATTTGACTAAACTGAGAATTGACATCATAACTCAAAAAATAATAATGGAAACTTAAAATGTTTTTCATTTTATGTTTATATGAGTAGGTTTACATAAAATGATTCAAAAAAATAAAATATTTTTAAAATCCCAAAAATCTAAAAAAATTTGACTAAACTGAGAATTGACATCATATCAAAATATAATGATAGAAACTTGAAATTTTTTTCATTTTATGTTTATATGAGTAAGTTTATATAAAATGAGTCAAAAATATAAAATATTTTTAAAATCCCAAAAATCTAAAAAAAATTGATTAAACTGAGATTTGACATCATAACTCAAAAAATAATGATGGAAACTTGAAATTTTTTTCATTTTATGTTTATATGAGTAAGTTTACATAAAATGAGTCATAAAAATAAAATATTTTTAAAATCCCAAAAATCTAAAAAAAATTGACTAAACTGAGAATTGACATCATAACTCAAAAAATAATGATGGAAACTTAAAATTTTTTCCATTTTATGATTATATAGTTTGTACCAAATAAATTAATCCAAAGTAAAGAATTATGCTCTTATAATTCATATTTTTTTTTAATTAAAAACTAAATTTTAAATATATTACGCCTTCTAACGGAAATATATTTATGATTTTTAGAATTTATTATGTATGTTATATTTTCTATGTAACATATCTGTTCTATACACAGGGTTGGGCAAATTTTCAGAAAATTGTATTCGGATACAGATACTTAAAAATTTTTTTTTTAAGATCAAGATACTTTAGAAAAATTCCAATAAGATATAAGATACAAGAAACTTGTATTTTTTTTAAAAAAAAGTTTCTAAGATACAAGATACTTTTTTAAAAAACTTTAAATAGTCAAAATCAAAATGTATAAAGCTTTATTTTCTTATCTATAATATAAATTTATAAAAAAATATTTAAAATAAATTGTAGAAATTAACAAATTTATTATAAAAGATAATGCGATATTCCATTTAATAATTATATAATTAGTAAATAATAATAAATCAGCATCATATATCAGCATTATTTTTTAATATTATTAATTTTTCAAATGATTTATCGTTCAATCTTTGACGATTTGGTCTATTAATTATATTAGCAAAGCTAAATAATCTTTCAACGGGGGCTGAGGAGGGTAATTGTGTTATATTTAATAAATATTTCTTTTATATATTTATAACTATTTAACATATTTATACTCCGCCTGTCATCTTTCATATAATTTAGGACCTCTATTTCAATATCATTTATTGAATTATTAGAATTGGATGTGGTACTTTTAAGGCAAAAGTAATCATCATCTTCATCAATTGAAGATTTTGTTGAAGTATTAATTTCAATATTATGTTTAAAAACAATTAAAACTTGTAATAACAAATCCTGAAGGTATTTTTTTTCTTTTTCACCATCAATCCAACGATTTTTAAAATAGGGATGAGAAATAGTTGCCAAAAATGCACTATTGTTATCAAAATCATATATATTTTTAAATCTTTTATTTAAATAATTTTCTATGGCAATAGCTAATGGTTTGCAAAATTGTAGATTGGTTTGAATTAAATTTGTAATTTTTTTTAACGACATTTAAAATTGGAGCTGATTCTCCATAAAAGCAGTTGATTTCACTCTGTATTTTGTCAATCGCTATAGCCAATGGGGCCATTATATTGCAATATTCTTCTAAATATTGAATTTCAATATCTCTTAATTTAGGAAATTCTAATTTTTGACAAAATTTAGGAAGTTCGCCTTTAAATTTTAATAAACTATGAAGACTATCATACAAAATATTCCATCTAGTGCAACAAGGTGTAACTAATTGTTTTCCTAAAACTGCTTTGATAAGCTCTGCAGTTTTAGGCCTATTATTTGCATTCCAAAGCTTAGTACATTTAGCTATTGCAGGATGATGAATTTTAGAAATGTTAGGAGAATCCTTAATAGCTCTCTCGACATCTGTTGTGGCAATTAGATCGTATGGCACAAACAACGAATGTGTTGAGGCAATGTTATTGAGGCTTCTTTAAACCCTTAAATAAATAAATAAATAATTTTATTTGAGTAAAATTTTTTACTAAATTTACATTATCATAATAAATTTTAAAGAAGTATTAAATAATACTTTCAATGATTTCGAATTCTATACATACATCATCATTGATGTCAAAGTAATTCTCTACAGCTTCCATAGAATATCCAAACTCCTTGAAAGCTTTCATAAAGTTAGAGCCGTTATCTGTAACAGTTGCTATAACTTTTTCGTCAATACCAAAGTCACGATGAATTTCCTTATTATGATCATCTTGAAGTACTTCAAAAAATTTGCCATTAAGTATGCTTAGTTTAAATTTATTGTTATAATTTTCGGTTGAAGAATCATCTGAAGACGAAGATAAACATATTATTCTATTTTCTTCTTCCATAATTTTAAAATAGACAGATATAAAACGATTCAAATATGGTAGTTCTAATTGTTAGCAAATTGCTATATGACGACCAACGTCATATATCAAAGATTATCTTAAAATATCTAAATTTTGATTAAATTTTTCATTTAAATCTTAAAACAATATCATTTTAAATTTTAATAACCAATATAAATTTTTTTAAATTATCTGTGTCTTTTTGAATACAAAGTTGGTTAAGATACAAATACTTTTAAATAATATGTATCTTAGATACTGGATACAAGATACTTTCCAAAATTTTAAAAAAGATACAAGTATCCGCGATACTGCCCAACCCTGTCTATACATATTTTAAATTTATGAACTACAATTTCTTCTTTATTCTATTTTATTTATTTAGAAAAAATTAATTATGGATAAATTTGATTCATAATAAAAACATTTTATTTATATTTTTAAAATAAAATTGATAGGCTAAAAAATAAAAATAAATTTTACCTGTCAATTCTCAGTTTACCTGTCAATTCTCAATTTACCTGTCAATTCTCAGTTTAGTTACACCGCTCTTTGTTTATGTATTGCTGTTAGTATTCCAATTTAGCAAAAAAAAGATTTGAAACGTTTATGATTCGAGCTAATTGGTAATTTTATCATGTAAGAAACCTGATATACTTTAATTATAGGTATAGTAGGCACGAAAACCTAGTGCATAAGGGTAAAGATATCATGGCATTAATTCATGAATTGTCAAATTTTAAATATAATGGCTCTAATAAAGCTAAGGTCTGTTATCCAAGTTATAGATGATTTAAATATTAAATATATTTAAGATATCATCAAAAATCCGAATAAGCTTGCAGTATTATACTAATGAAATATCAAATCTCAAAGCTGAAGCAACTTTTCTTTACAAAACGAATGGAATGTTAAATTTTAATATTTAATTACATGATTTTTTAATCTTTACTGGGGATCCCTCTGTGGGAAATTTGGCCCAGAATAAAATCCCATTTATAAGTTAAAATTTGGGGAACATTTTTTAGGGTTTTAATGCTCCTTTAACCCCTCCCCCATTAATACACCACTGATTAGGTGAAATTATGCTTTTATCATATTATTGATATCTAGACTGTAGACCTTCATAAGCCTTAATTTTTTATCAGGTTCATTCCAGGCCCATAGTAACAAAAATTTTAGGTCCTAGCCTTTCCCATATTTAAATTCTAAAGCCTGGCCTTAGCCCATAATGAGTTTTAAAAAATTTTCCCAAGCCAATATCTAAAAATTTTATTTATTGAATACAAACAATTTTTCAGTATATTTAGGCAATCATTTTGTTTGCAATACTAAAATTTATTATTAGAAGAAAAATACAACATTTTTAAGTAGTAATTGTTATAAATAAGCTAAATTTAAATTTGAAAAAATTAGACACAAGGCTGACATGTAGGTCACTGAAGACAAAAGGAAGGAGGTTTGGGGTTAACCCCCCCACCCCCACTTTCGTGAAAAATATTAAGGCTATGCCAATCCACAAATTTCTAATTGACAATATTTTTCAATATACATCCAATCCTGGCCAATATTTATGGTGAATTTTATTTACTACCTGTAATAAAAAAAATGAGTATTTTCTATGCAAAAAGGGAAACTATAATTGTAAACGATGCCCTAAACAAGAAACATTTTTAAATGTACTGTTTCTCATGATCAAGGCGATATTTGCTGCATTATGACCACTAATTATTAATTGTATTTTTTTTTTATTTCCCAAAAATTGTTGACTGAATATATGATTAGATATTTTTAAATCCTTTTCTTGTTACTAATTATGTAACAAAAATAACATTTTTTATCTATTATAAAATAATTAGATTTCTTTTAAACATTACAAATTTTAATCTTTTTATTCATTGATTATTATTCGAATTTCTTTTATTTCTGTAAAATCATTTCCAAAATGTCTTCCATTTAGAAAGTGCATAAAAAATTATATAAATAAATAATCCTTATTTCTTAATATTTTCACATCTTAAAAAAATAATGCTTATATATAAATATTAAAAAAAAATATTCCTTGGACGCCTTCCAAATGTGTTATAATTTGGATGGGACACACCCAATCTTGGAAGTGACCCTTTCTTTTATGAGATGGATTTTTGACTTTTTTATTTCCAACTCCCAAAGTCGGACTCGAACTCAATAAAAAATTAAAAATTTGAGCTACTAAAAAATAAATTAGAAATGACTTTTTAGTTTCTTTTATAAAATTAAAATAATATTCTCCATGATTAAGACAATGCAATTATTAGAAATAGAAATTTCTACCGGGCTCTGGCCTGAAATAAAAATTCAGGGGCTCTGGCTTAAAAAATAATAAAAGGAAGAAAAAAGTGTATTTAAAGAGGTCTATTTGAGGGTAAAAAATTATTCATTGTTAAGTTTTCATTTACCAAACCCAATTTACCTTATTTGGTTATCATTTTTTTCAAAGATGACTCAAGTCTATTTAATTACTTTTTCTCCTGCTACTAAATTATAAATAATCAAGGCTACAGTCAGAGATTCAATAAGCACATTTATACATTTCTAAGTCTCATGTTTTAAAATGTGATAAAAAGTTAATTTATCATATATTACGGAATTCAATATTGTTATATGATTCAATGCTCACTTATAGTGTTGTTAAAAAGTAGAGTTCACCCGACTCTGACTCAGAGTCTAAGTCGTTAGTCGAATTAGTCGACTCACTGAAGTCGTGAACTCGAGTCGATATCTCAAGACGACTCGAGATATGAACTCAAGTCGATATCTCAAGACGACTTGAGATATGAACTCAGGTCGACTTGTCGTGAAGTCAAGTCGACTCAAGTCGTGAACTCAAGTTGACTATTGTGAACTCCAGTCAACTCGAGTCATGAACTCAAGTCGACTTGGAAAACATGAGTTTTCCACTTGAGTCGTGAACTTAAGCCGACTAGAGGACGAATATTTCGAATAGGTGTATAATATTTTTTTTACAATTAATTTTTGGTTTTCATGCAAAAATTTTAAGCAAAATTTGAATTGATAAGAATTTAAAATCTTCTTTTTTAATAAATTTTTTGTGAATTATTAATCTTTTAGTTGAAATCTTTTATAGGTTTATTTTTATCATTTTTGTAAAATTATCTATTTTTTTAGTATATTAAAAGAACTAGTGTTGTTAAACGGCTCATTTTGAGCCGATTTTTTAAAACGGCTAACTCAATATTTTAGCCAGGAAAATACTGCCTAAGCCTCGAGATTTCGATAATATATGCCTAGACCTTTGTTCCTTCTATGAGCAAAATCTTGAGGCTTGCGTAATATTTTTCTGGACGAAATATTGAGTTAGCCGTTTTTAAAAATCGGCTCAAAACGGGCCATTTAACAACACTAAAATGAACTAGTTTAAATAATTTATATCAAATTTTTATATGTTATTTTACATGATCGTCTTATAATATTTTAATGTGACAATTGTCATGTTATTTTTTTAACATTTTTGTAATTTTTGGCACAAAAGGGTAAAAATATAATTTATATAATGAATATGTTAAATTATAAATTCAATGATGATGTTCCTTTGTAAAAATGACAAATATCATAATCTATATTTTAAAACATAGTAGTTTATTTTTGACGCTAATGGGTAAAAATATAGATTGTAAATAAAATTAAAATTTCAGTGAAGATTTTTCCTAGATAAGTGACAATTGTCATAATCGTTATTTCTAAAGTTTTTTTGAAATTTTTTGACGCAAATAAGTAAAAATAAGGCTGTAAATCAGTGAAGATGTACCATAGATATGTGACAATTGTTATTTTAAAGTTTTTTTGAATTTTTTAAAGCAAATGGGTAAAAATATATATTGTAAACATGTTAAATCAAAATTTCAGTGAAGATATACCATAGAAAAGTGACAATTGTCATAATCGTTATTTTTAAAGTTTTTTGAATTTTTGGACGTAAATAGGTGAAAATATAGAATGTAAATATGTTAAATTATAATTTCAATGAAGAAGTACACTAGATAAGTGACAATTGTCATAATCGTTATTTCTAAAGTTTTTTGACGCACATAGGTAAAAATATAGATTGTTTGTCTATTTTCATCAGACAATCTTGTTTAAATTGCGGCTAAACAATTTTTCTATAATAAAATTAATATTGATGTTAAACACAAAAAATAAGTATATAAATATTTGGAGCTATAAATTAAATTTCCTACACTTATATACAACCTAGATTATTTTCTGCTAATACAATATTTTTTATACCTTATTTTTATATTTATTTCTTCATAAACGTATTAAATATGATATATTATATTTACTAACCACCAACGAATAAAATTATATCTATCAATTATATAATTTATTTTTCATCGCATATATTCATTATTGATATATGCAAAAATAAAAAAAATTTCATTTTATTAATATTCTACTATAATAAAATATAATTATAAAATTTAAAAAGAGTTATAAATTTGCAACTTAGACATTTTAATAAAATTATAGAAATAATGAATATATCCACTCCCCACATGTCATTAATTACCTCTTTCCTGGCATTTAGACATAGACACCATCTGAGTTTATTGGGGGGGGGGCTAATATAACATGGTGCTATATAATTGCTGAATGTACTCATGTAGTTTTTATATATTGCACATTTTATCAACATTTTTTACTTGCCGCATTTTTAATATCACTATCATGATGATTTTTGGAAGCCTTGTCTAGAATTTTCTTCATCTTTGCCATAAATAAAACTCCGGTTCCAATCCAAAGTTATTTTATGGAATGGCTTTAAAAAAAGTTCAACTTCATTTAAAAATTTTGCCTCATTATCGTTTATATCGAAAGGCTCTGCTATACATTTTTTTCCTATCTGTTTAATTTCTTCAAAATTCTATATTCATAAATATTATTATGCAATGTTTTTTATCTCAAAAAGGTTCAAAATTGTATATTCATTGTATATTATATAGACTTAGTTATTTCATATAAAATAATCAAAAGAAAACACAAAAGGTGCCAGCTAGGCACAAAATCAACTTAAAATAAGAAATAAATAATATAAGCCTTCTTGCTAAATTTAGGGGTACTTTGGAATAAAAAAATAAGCTTATATTTTTTTTAATGTTGTACCAATATGGGATTGATATTTATCGCGGCTAGTGGGAGAGACTGAATATAATGTAATACATAAAAATTATTAAATTCGGTAATCTTACGGATGTTACCCTCAAAATAATCACTAGTCGGAGATCGTAACCAGATTAATTCGAATATCCTTTTTTTTTATCTTCAAGAATGATTTTCTTTAATTTAAAATTTTTTCATTTTATTCATCTTTTAATATTCCAAAATTATAATATTGTAAAAATTCATCAAAAAAAATAAGTAATCAAAAATTATATGTTTCTTTTTCAACTATAATAAAAAATATTTATATTCATAGACATTTTCAAATTAATTATATTTATTTGTATACAACAAAATTAATAAAAATCTATATAAATTTGAATACCACAAAATTAATAATGGCTCATTTATATATATATTTGCATACAACACCTCCACCCTTTAAGATTAGCTTTCCAAGGCTTCCTTCGTTAGTGCCCCACCTTCTCGCACTTCCAATGAACCGTTCATTGAGGACGTTGTTGTCGTCGGACAAAACCTTAATTTATGCATTCCTCCGCATGCCCAACATGCTAATCGATTCTTCCGAACCCAATATGGCTCCATTCGTCGTTCTATCCTTTGTCTTCTGGGTATTTCCTGCAGTAACTCTCCGTATCTTTGTTGCGCACCCTTGCCGCTTCGATCCATCTGTTTGATTGGGCCGATCCATCTGCTTCCCTGATTTCCATCTTGATAATCTTGTTTCCT